CTCGCTTGGCCTCAGCTTTGAGACCTCCACTGTGTTCCGAGGCTGCTGTCCCACGCCCACCCTCAGCTGGCTGCAAACCTTTTGCCTCTGAGCACGTTGTGCGGGCCTCGGGACGGAAGTGGCACATAGAAACGCCTTTGCTGCCCGGCCCTGCTTCGCCTCCTGAGCAGGCTGCAGGAAAGCGCATGCTGGGTCCCGCTAAGCGGCTGCTGGTCCCTGCTGAGTCTCTACACCACTCCAGCAGCTCCTCCCGCTTTACCTCCTTGGGCCCTCCAGCTTCTCGTGGGACAAGTGGGCCCAGAAGGGAGCCCCGACATCAGACATCAGGCACTTCCTCAAAATCCCTCCGTGCATCAGTTCTGTCACTGTCTGTCCCTGTCTCCCCTACACGCCAAACCACCTGTCCGGACACTCACCCTATACCAAGAGCCAATGCACCTGTCCGGACACTCACCCTGTACCGAGAGCCAATGCACCTGTCCAGACACCCTCTACCGAGAGCCAATGCACCTGTCCAGACACCCTATACCGAGAGCCAATGCACCTGTCCAGACACCCTATACCGAGAGCCAATGCACCTGTCCAGACACCCTATATCAAGAGCCAATGCACCTGTCCAGACACCCTATACTGAGAGCCAATGCACCTGTCTGGACACTCACCTTCTACCAAGAGCCAATGCACCTGTCTGGACACTCACCCTCTACCGAGAGCCAATGCACCTGTCCAGACACCCTATATTGAGAGCCAATGCACCTGTCCAGGCACACTATACCGAGAGCCAATGCACCTGTCCAGACACTCACCCTCTGCCAAGAGCCAAAGCACCTGTCCGGACACTCACCCTATACCAAGAGCCAAAGCACCTGTCCAGACACTCACCCTTTGCCGAGAGCCAATGCACCTGTCCGGACACTCACCCTATATTGAGAGCTAAGCCTACAGTGATCGCATGTGTAAGCTAGAGAATAGCACTGATAGCATTGTTAATATGTTTATGTTAGAAATACCAGGACATATTTACAGAAATATGAAGTTATTTACAACATAAATATAGTAGTATCATTAGTATAGTTTTATTGCATATCACTATGTTTTATATATTATCTTATAGATCATTGCTTATAAATATGATGTTTTACACTTTGCACACTACTTCTGTCTTGTATGTGATGCATGCCTGTTATTGATAATGTATAATGTATATGATACATACTATAAATTATTGGGGTTGGGAAGGTGGCTCAGTGGTAGAGTGCTTGCCTCACATGCATGAGGCCCTGGGTTGATTCCTCAGCACCACATAAGCAGAAAAAATTTGGAAGTGGTGCTGTGGCTCAAGTGGTAGAACACTTGCCTTGAGCTGAAGAGCTGAGGGACAGCGCTCAGGTCCAGAGTTCAGGCCCCACGACCGACAAAAAATAAAATAATAGTATACTATAAATTATATATTATAGAATACATCCTTTATATTAATAGCATGCATTATATATACTCCATCTGATATTAATATATAATAATGTATTACTACTTGACATGATATATTAATCGTTGACATTTTATATTATATGATTATACATTAATTATATATGATGCTAATTGTGTTTCATATAAGATACATATTTTACATCATACAAATTATGTAACATAATATACAATAATAATTTGGTATAATATGTCTGTATTCATACATGTATAAGAGACCCGGTCAGGTCTCACTTTTGGTGGTAGCCCTGTCTCCCAAGTTCTACAGAAACTGAGCCATCGCTCCAGGAGAAATACAGGGTTGGGTTCCTGTCTTGCTTACATCATCATCGGGGGGGCAGTCCATAATCCAGCTGTGTGTACCTTCCTACTGAAAGAACCTTAGTGAACAGATAGTGTCGATCTCATTAGTGTCGAACTTGTGGTTGATGGCGGTGAAGCTCATGACTGAACCAGGCTCATTTGCCACAGGCAGGTGCAATCGCATTCTTCTTGTGATTAGGAACACTAGACCATGCTGCAGTGCTGTGCTTGAGGAACAAGCAGCAAGATCACCACTTCAAAATAACACAAACCCAGCTGGGTGCCAGTGGCTCACGCCTGTAATCCTACTACTTAGGAGGCTGAGATCTGAGGACCACAGTCCAAAGCCAGCCTGGGCAGGAAAGTCCGAGAGACTCTTATTAACACCAGAAAACTGGAAGTGGCACTGTGGCTCAAATGGTAGAGTGCTGGCCTTGAACTGAAGAGCTCAGGGACAGTGCCCAGGCCCAGAGTTTAAGCTCCATGACCAACAAAAACAAAACAAAACAAAAATGACCCCCCTCACCCCACAAAAATACAGCGGCAGTAAATAGACCTGGGCATGAAACTAGTTTCCGGACGGGAGCTTGAGGGTTGATGTCGGTTGGGGATGGGGTCATACATTGGTGGAAACTCAGATTTCTTTCCTGCTATCTGTGAGTGACCACCAGGACAGTCCTGGTATTGATCTGGGGATTAGAAACAAATCTGATCTAGCCAGCAGGTTCATCAGTAAGGAACCCACAAATGTCCGGGCTCCCTGGGTGCCCGGGGGACCCATGTCAGGACTGCACGGGTGGCTTCCTTTGTTCAAACTCGTCCTGAGACGCCTGTCTGCAGCTCTTGCTGTGGGGAGCCGGGTGGGAATCCCAGGTTCTGCCCTCAGCAGTACCGGATATCCTGGTGTCCGGGGGTGGGTGGCATGCAGGGCAGGCCAGCGACTTTGCGGCGCCTTCCATTTCCCTGCTGCCTTCCCCAGCCTGGCGCTGGCAGGAGCAGGGAGGGGAGAGGAGCAGAGGAGGCGGTGGATCTTTACCACCTCATATTCATGCAAGCTTCATGCAAGAAGCTGTGTTCTGTCTGCGCGTCTTGGACGACTGAGACTCCACAGCCCAGGGGAGTGGCCTCAGCTGGACCCTGGGTGGCTGGAAGTTCAGGGGCTCTGGGTTCGAATGTTATGGAGGGAGGTGGGGTCGGGAAGCGCTGAGCTGTGGATAGATGTGGCTAGGAGATGTAGGATGATTATGTGTGCATGTGTGCCTTGTAGAGATGTGTGATGAGTGTGTGCATGTGGGTACCTGTGTGCAAATGTGTGTGCATGTGTGCATATGCACGTTAGGCACATACGTGTGTGCACGTGTGCGTGCGCGCACCATGCTGTGCCCACCACGGGAGGGGGGCCCCAGGAGATTGTGCCTGCCACTTAGCATGTCCCACATTAGTAAAAGCTAAAGCTATTTTTCTAGAAACACCGCCCCCCCACAACCGTCATCCCCTCCAGAGTCTGTTTTAAAGAGGAAAGGAATTAGTCTTTGTTTTTAATTAATGCCAGCTCTCGTCCTGACTTCTAATATCCCACCTCATTTGTCTTATTAAGTACTTAGTTTTGCTTTTAATTAGCGTTGTTTATCGTGGCGGAATTTTAATCATCGGTGTAAGGTCTCGCAGGCCTCGGGGAGGGTGGCTTGCTGGAGTCCCCTGCTCCCCAGGGAGCTTGGTGGCAGGCCCGCTGAGGTGAGTCGGGGTGAAATGTAATCTTCTCCAGGCCCCGCCAGTACTGGTTGCCTTTGGGCCTCCTGTTTGCTGTAAGGTGACACGGACTCGCCCTGAAGACACACAGCGCTGTCTCCTGAGAGAGCTCGGGAGAGGTGCAACAGCACAAATTCAAGTCAGATTGGGAACAAAAAAGGAGAGTAGACTGCTGACAGTGAACACAGCCAGCACAGACCCAGGCCCGGCGGTGTCCAGCCTCCTGGCAGCATCATCAGGGATCAGCCTTTCTCGCGCTGGCTCTGCTTTGATCCTGGCAGGCTTTTTCTGCCGGGTGGAGAAAATGATGGCAGCAGTTTGTCTTACCAGCTTAGAGGCTCCATGGGGGAGGTTGGGGAATGCTTCTTCCCACATACATCTAGCCACAGTCTCAGAAGAAGACTTCATTGGCCGAGATAGGGTCATGTGCCTCTCCCTCCACCAATCACAACAGCCCGAGGAAGGTACCTCATCACTGATTGGCTGGAAGGTATCCCACTTCCAGGGGTCAGGGCTGGGTGAGCTTTACTTGGGACCACAAAGATGGATACTGAGAAAGGAATCACTTCCCAATGGAAAACTGAGGTGATGTTGCCTGTCCCCCACCCCCAGGGCTGTGCAGGTGACTTCTAGACAGGCAAACACCACAGTGAGCCACTGCAGTGTCTCACCAGGCCTGGAATCCAGCCCCAGCCCCAGCCCCAGCCTCCAGTGAGGTTCCTAGCTGAGGGTTCAGAAGCATGGCGGCCTGACCAGGCCCCTGTTCACCCATTCACTCACCAGCTCTTTCCCGCCAGAGTGGGGAGTTCAGTGAACCCAGAGTATAGAAAGTGTGCCAGAAAGGAAAGAAGGGAAATGGGGCTAGAGCTCAGGATTCTGGGCCAAAGGCCCAGCAATGGTCTTGCCATGACAGGCTGCTTGATTAGTCAGTACTTGCTGCATAACAACAAACCACGCTACCTGTGTATCTCATGATTCTTCAGCCATTGGGTTGGTCTTCGGCTGATCTCGGTTGGGCTTGTTTTATTGTCATTGCTCTGGCAACTATGGCCTTCTGCCCTGTGATCTCTCCTCCGGCCAGCTAGCCTGGGCCTCTTATCTGCTGTCTGCAGGTTCTAAAAGCAGACCTCTAAATGAGGTCCAGCATCCTCAAGCCTCTGATTACTTCCCATTCTCTCCCATCCCATTGGCCACTGAAAGAAGCCAATCAGAAGCGGAGGCCAGAGACATACATCACCTCTGGACGGAGTTGAGGGGAGCTGGGAGGGAAGACCTGGGGAGGGCTGGGGTTTGAGGGTGGGGTGCTTGGCCCTGGTCTGTTCCCCCCTCTGCGGGAGGTTGTCCTGGGGTCCAGGGTGACCCGTGGACAACAGGGAAGCCTCTTCTCTGTCCTGCGTGGGTGAGGAGGTGAGGAGTGGTGACTTCTGTTTGGTCCCCTCTTACAGGTGCGCGAGCCCTCCGCCATGACTGACACTGCCGTCCGCAGTAGTTCTGGCCGCTGGATGTACCCCAGCGACCGACCCCTGCAAGCAAAGTGAGTCTGGGGGCCCCGGGGCGGGTGGGGGGTCCTCATGGTCTCCAGGCAGGGGTTGGGAGAGAAGGAATGTGCGTGTCCCTGCTGCGGTGGGCATGGTGGGCCTCTCAGCTTCCTGCTGAGAGGAAAGGGGCGAGCGAGCGCGTGGCAGAGCCATCCCAGGCTCTAGCTCAATCTGAGCCCTTTCACCAAGGACACAGGCCGCGCTCCGCCTCATCCCCAGCCTCAGTTCCCTTATCTGTCAAATGAAGCTACGGACTAGAGCTGGAAGCCACAGGCTGGCAATGACACGCAGGCGTGTGCATATATGTTCTCTCTCTCTCTCTCTCTCTGTCTCTCTCTCTCTCTCCCCTCCCTCTTCCCTTCCCTTCCCTTCTGCTTCCCTTCTCACTCCCTCCCTCCCTGCCTCCCTTCCTCCTTCCTTCCTTCCTTCCTTCGCTCTTTCTCTTTCTTTCCTTCTCTCTCTTTCTTTCCTTCTCTCTCTCTCTTTCTTTCTTTTTTTCGTCTGTCATGGGGCTTGAACTCTGGGCTTGGGCCCTGTCCCTGCACTCTTCAGCTCAAGGCAAGTGCTCTACCACTTTAGCCACAGCACCACTTCCGGTTTTCTAGTGGTTTTTATTAGAGATAAGAGTCTCATGGACTTTCCTGCCCAGGCTGGCTTTGAACTGTGATCCTCAGATCTTAGCCTCTTGAGTAGCTAGTATTACAGGCGTGAGCCACCGACGCCTGACTCTTTTTTCTTTCTTTCTTTCTTCCTTCCTTCCTTCTTTTCCTTCCTTCCTTCCTCCCTCCCTCCCTTCCTCTTTCTCTCTTTCTTTCTTTCTTTCTTTCATTCTTTCTTTCTTTCCTTCTTTCTTTCTTGTCCTGAGGCTTGAACTCAGGGCCTGGGCACTGTTTCTGAGTTTTTTTATGCTCAAGGTTGGCACTCTACCCCTTGAGCCATAGCTCTATTTCTAGCTTTTTGGTGGTTTATTGGAGATCAGAGTCTCACAGACTTTCCTGCCCAGGCTGGCTTTGAACAGTGATCCTCAGATCTCAGCCTCCTGAGTAGCTAAGATTACAGGTATGAGCACTGGTACTTGGCTGCCATTTTTTAAAGTTGTTTAAGTGGTCTTATATAGGTGTAATTAGGCTGGGTGTGGTGGTACATGAGTATAATTCCAGCAAGAAGATCATGAGTTCAGGGCCAGCCTGGTCTACATAGTGATTGATACCCTATCTTAAAAGGATATAATGCATGTAAATTCAACAGTACACTTTTATTTATTTATTTTTGGGTCCGGTCGTGGGGCCTGAACTCTGGGCCTGGGCACTGTCCCTCAGCTCTTCAGCTCAAGGCTAGTGCTCTACCACTTGAGCCACAGCGTTACTTCCGGCTTTTTTCTTTTTGCTCATGTGGTGCTGAGGAATCGAACCCAGGGCCTCAGGCATGCAAGGCAAGCGCTCTACCACTGAGCCACCTTCCCAGCCCCTCAACAGTACACTTTTAAAATGAAGTAGCATTCTGTAATTTTCAAACGTCCATGTATACCCATGAAGCCAGCACAATAACCAAGACGATGAGTATATATAATAGTTCAAAAAATTCTCCCTCCCATCCCAAGGTGGCCACTGATTTCTGTAACTATAATTTTGTGTTTCCTAGAATTTTATTTTAGTGGCATTAATTTTATATTGGTTTTAGACTAATGGAACCATACAATATCTACTTTTGGCCTGTACACACCTGTACTTTTCATTCACTTTAGTTATTTGGAGAGTGACCATATTCTTTTGCACATCAACCGTGTCCCTCTTTGGACTGTTTCCAGGTAGCCTTTGTGTTGAGCATGACTTGATTTCCCTTCAGTGATTACCTGGGAGTGACATATCACGGTCTTGTGGCAGGCACTGGTTTAACCTGCCTTTGGTTTTGTAAAGAGTGGGGATTGAACTCAGGGCCTTGCATTTGGTTGGCAGGTGCTCCGTGCCCATTTTGCATTAGTTATCTGAGATGGGGGTCTCACTCTGTGCCTTAGCTAGCCTGAACTGTGATCGCAAGAGGGCGCTGCTGTGCCCAGCCTTTAGTTGAGATTGAGTCCCATGAACTTCTGCCCAGGCTGGTCTTGAATCATGATTCCCCCAATCTCTGCCTCCCAAGAAATTTTGGTTATAGCTTGTCACCACGCCCGGCTTTGTTGTTGTTTGTTTGTTTGTTGTTGTTGTTGACAGGGTCTTGCTGTTTAGCCTAAACTGGCCTCAAACTTGCAGCCTCCCGTGTGCTGGGATTACAGGCAGGTACTACTGCACCCAGCCTTGGCTGGGCTTTTCAAGAACCTTTTGCTGAACCATTTTCCTGGTTGGCTGTGCATCTTGGAGGCCCAGCTGGCCGGCCACCTCTGGTCACGTCACTGGGGCTGCTTCACTGGAGCACGTGTCCCATTTTTTTTCTCCTTGAGATTGAGGTGTAGGGGCTCTGAATGTTTTAGATAAAAATCCTGTGTTGGATAGTAATTTTCCAACTTGTCCTCAGCCCCCATTTTCTTTTTAATAACTTGAGTCTTCGGGAGAGAAAAAAATGTGGCACTTTGATGAAGTCTGTGTTGCCTACTCGTGTTGAGAACAAACAGAGAGGAGTCCTTTATTTTCTAGTGGTCCCCGAGCTGTGTTTAAAGGGCTCACTTTGATGAGGATATTCGGGGGAGGATTTTTTTTCCTTTTCTTCTTTTGGCAGTACTGGCATTTTGAATCCAGGGCCTCCTGCTTACTAGATGGGTGCTCTACTGCTCGAGCCGTGCCAGAGCCCTTATTTTCTTGTTTATTTTTCAGATAGGATTTCATTTTTTCATCTGGGGTCAGCCTCTGACCATGATCCTCTTTCCTCTGTCTCCTGTACAGCTTTGATTACAGGTATTCACCACAACATGCAGCTTGGTTTTTGAGATGGGGTCTTACTAACTTGACCTCTTGAGTAGTTGGCATTGTGGCTCTCACACTGTCTCTGAGTGAGAGTTTTGGTTGTTCCCTCCCCTCGCGCCCAGCCATATACTCTGAAGTAAAAGCCCTCTGCCTGCTTGCCAAACACTTCTGCCTAAAACCTCGGGTTCTAAGAGTGCCATTTGGAGGACACGGTGGAACTCAGCCGGTTCCTCTCTCCACAGAAGCTTCCTGCTAAGTTTCCCTTCCCGTAATGCCTTCTTGGAACCAAAACTTACTTTGCACAGAATATTTGATCTGCCAAAAAAAAATGTGTATCTGTAAGATAAACAGCTGCCTGGAGGGTGGCTGGGGTAAAATATTTATTTTTATTGAAGAACTGTCAGTTCATTAAAAGCCCATCCATCAGGGTTTATTTCAGTTGCGATGAAGCCAAACAACCCGCCTTGCCATTTAAATCAGCAGCATGACAACCGTGGAGGTGAGGCTCCCGCAGCGTCCTCCTGAGCATGCGCGCCGAAGCCTGTCACTCCAGACGCACCAGCCGCCTCGCTCACTCCCGCACGCTCCCAGATACTTAAATGAATTTTTGATAAATGCTAACGGGCAGAGCACAGCCATCCCAAGGCTGTCTCACTGGCCGTGTGCTAATGCGGCTAATTCCCGTGTCTTCCTCCAGGAATTGAAAGGGATCCGAGTCTTAATTAACTGCTGGCTAGCCTTAGACACTTCCTGCTTGCGTGATTTGCAGATGGGGCTTCTGCTGGCCTCCACGGGCCTAGGAATTGCAGGTGGACCCAGCCTCGCCCGGGGCAGAAAGGAGCCAATGGCTCTGCGAAGGTGGGGTGGCTCATGCTTGTTATCCTAGCTGCTCAGGAGCCTGAGAGCTCAGGAGCTCAGCCTGGGAAAGTCTGGGAGACTCTTATCTCCAACTGACCACCAAAAAGCTAGTGGTAGAGCTCTGGTAGAGCACGAGAGTTCAGAGGCTGGGCCTCGGCTCTGAGTTCAAGCCCCAGCACCTGCACATCCACAAAGGAAGGACAGTAGCAGCTGGGGCAGTAGCGCAGCCCTCCTGGCCGGGAGTCCCAGGGAGAGAAGCAGCTCTCTGAAGTGGGATGTTTATTTCTAGATACAAAGTCTACAAGCCAGAGGGGTGGGAAATGGGAGACGGAAACTGAGGCACAAAGACAAGCTGCCTGTGTTTGCATGCTTAAGGGCATAGAAATGCCATTTCTCCTTTTAGAACAGAAGGACTCCCTTCCCTCAGACTGGGGCCCTACACATTCTGGGGTTCAGGGCTCAGGGCTAGACTCACGTGCACCCAGTGCTCCAGCTTTTGCAATAACAGAAGGCAAAAGGAAGCTGGCAGAGCGTGTTCTGGACCACCTCGAACCGTCTCCTCCCACACAAAGGATGGTCCACTTCAGTGATTCGCTGACTCGCGCGGTCAGGTTCGCAGCCCTGCAGGGAAGCGGCCGTGTCTTAGATGCGCAGGAGTGACACAGCCAAGGCGGGAGAAGATGGAGGCAGGCCGTAGCTGTGCCCACAGGTATTGGTCGCCGCCACGGCACTCTGGGATTGTTGATTTCTTACCTTACATTTCGTTGTTTCTTTCTCTCCCTGCTTTGCCTGCCTGCAGTGATGAGGAACAGTAAGTATTTCGTGACGCTTTTCTTTTCCTATGCACTATGGAGCTTGGCTGGTCTCTGTGCACCGGGCCAGTTAGATCGCACAAAACAAAAATCCAGGTTACTAAAACAGTTCCCCCAAACAATCTCGCCCTTGGGGAAGGCGTGGAAGTGTTCTCTAGGGGCACACCCAGCCAGCTCTTGCTGGAAATGTGGGGGTAGCGAGTTTGATGACCATATTGTACCCCACCTCCAGCATCTTACTGGAAGTACCATTCTATATTTTCTATGTGTGTGAGGCTGCAGCTCGAACTCAGTACCTGATGAGTTGCTCATTGGCGGGTACTCTACCAACTGAGCCACACCTCCAATCCTAGGAACAGGGTTCTTAGACAAGAAAAACATGAATGCGATCAATCATTGATACTACCAATCAAAATCCAGCTCAGAAGATGCTCTGTGCCACGACCCCCCCCCCCGGCTCTGCCACCTCCTGGAGGTCACACTGACTTTTGCACAGAGCTGTGATTCACGGGCCCTAGGTGTGCTCACCACGCCCGTGCATTTGGTTGGACATAGTAAATGGGCGTGGCAGCTGGGGTGTGGGGCCCTGTCCACGAGCAGCAGACATTGTCACCTCCCCACAGTGGCTCGGGGACTCACTGCCACTGTGACCTTGAGCTCTGACCTCATCTCCTGGAGTCCCATTGTTCTGGTCTGTGGAATGGGTTTCAGACCACAGACTTCCCTTCTTGCTGGCCAGGGGGGAGGCAGGGAAGGAGTCTCTGGACCCAGAGAGTTCACTTGAATGTTAGGCTGGAAGTGTATGCTGAACCTTCTGTGATATGGTCCACTGCTTCCTCTCCAGGCCTCCTCTGTCCCTGCCCTGCTGTATATATACAGAGTATATATACGTATATGAAATATATATGTGTATGTATATATATATATTTATATATATATATATATGCACAGAGAATATCTACTATAGACTAACAGGCATGTTAAATATGAGACATAGAGATATAACCAAAGTATGCGTGCTATCTGGTAGAGACTATGAATGTGTAATCAAGCCAGGCATGGTGGCTCATCCCCATGATCCTGGCTACTCAGTAGTTGGAGGAAAAGAGCACTACAATGTGAGGCCTGCCTTGCCAGAATGCTGGTGAGAATCACAACTCAGCCAGGGAAAGCTAGCAAGGCAATCCCAGCTACTCAGGGGTAATGCCTAGCCCAAACCCTAACTCTAGCCCTGACCCTAACCTCTCACCTCTAACTCTAGCCCTAACCCTGACCCTAGCCCTAGCCCTAAATAGTGTAAATAGGAGTATCACAGTCCAAGCTTGCCTGGGTATAAATGCAGGATCCTGCTTGAAAAACAACAAATCAAAAGGATCAGAGTGTGGCTCTAATGTTGTAGAACACCTGCCTAGCGATCTTGAATCCCTGGGTTCAAACTCCAGTAGCACTAAAAACTAAATAAGACCCAGCCCACCAGCAGCCAATCAGCCAATCCACTCTAGCATGCAAGGAGCTATCGTTCTGGGAAACCAAGGAATATCCCCTAGTCCAGATTTGGAGAGGGGGTCCACAATGAGAGAACTTTCTGGAAGAAGTTGTATGTAGGAGCACGTGTGGGAAGAACACATAGAGGAATGCGTGTGCAGAGCCCACTGGTGAGAGCCACTGCAGAATTTCAGAACAGCCAGGTGGGGTTCAGTGTGGCCGGGAGGTGGGCCGTTCTGAGGGCCACAGCAGCCCTTCTGCACCCCCTTTTAGTCTGGCTGGGGTAGATTTTGTCTGGGAGGGCTTTGCTGTACCTGAGCACGTGCAAAACATACTGGAGTAAGGCTGCCCTCCCTCCCTCCCTTCCCTCCTTCCTTCCTTCCATCCAGATTCATTAAAATCTCATTCACTGAGCAGTAGGGAGGCTTCATGAGGACACCTGCTTGAGTTTGCCATCCTGGGGCAGAGCAGGGAGAGAAGGAAGAAGACAGAGAGAGAGAGAGGGAGGAGAGAATGAATTTAGTGCCTCCCAGCCGCTGTGGCAGGCAGGCTTCAGAGCCCTGTGGCCCGACAGCACTCCATCATCTCACGCATCCCATGCCTTTGGGAGCTCTGGTTTATTAATAGAGACATCTGGCGGGTATTTATTATGTCAGGGTTGTGGGGGAAGTGGAGAGGCAGGTGTGAGGGGAGGCGGTGGAGGAGGCCCGGCTCCGCCTACAGCCGCGTGACTGCTGTAGTGACGGCCAGCCCAGGCCCTGGCAGCTCAGGGTCACCTGGGCAGGGGCAGGGGCTTCGGGAGCCGCCAGAGGGCGGGGTCTGAAGTCCTGGTCTGTGGTCCACTACCAACCATTCGCAGCCATTCCCGTCCTTCTTGAAGGCAAGACATCCAGAGATAGAACAGGGAGGCTGCGGTACACTTTAGACTTCCGTTAGCAGTGGAGCTCTCCTTTGAATAATATTTTACTCCAAAGCTAAGCATTTAAGATAAGATTAGAGCTGGAGAAAGACCCTTGGTGGCCCAGGGCATTAAAAATATCACGGGGAACTCCTCACCACTATAATTTAAAATAGTACTGACCTGAAGTGGGTGTAGGGACTCTTTAAAAAGCTTCCTGTATACGTCAGCTCTGGCTGTGTGGCAGACCATTTTGGTACAGTCTCCTCAGCCATTCCCACCCATGAGTACCTGAGACACTATTTTCACCAAAAACCAGCCAATCAAGAAATAAAGCCACCGAGCTGGGCGCTGGTGGCTCATGTCTATAATCCTAGCTACTCAGGAGGCTGAGATCTGAGGATCTCGGTTCAAAGCCAGCCCGGGCAGGAGAGACCGTGAGACTCTTATCTCCAATAAACCACCAGAAAACCGGAAGTGGCGCTGTAGCTCAAGTGGTAGAGCGCTCGCCTTGAGCTGAAGAGCT